GCGCTCCTCCAGTGCCTTCAGTGCGGCCTGCGTCTCCTCGAGCTGCTCCTGCGTGTTGGCACGAACAGCTTCAAGGTCCTGCAGCTGCGACTGCAGAGATGCCTGTGTCTCCTCAGCGGCTTGAGTCTCATCGGCGTGGCGCTCCTCCAGTGCCTTCAGTGCGGCCTGCGTCTCCTCGAGCTGCTCCTGCGTGTTGGCACGAACAGCCTCAAGATCCTGCAGCTGCGACTGCAGAGATGCCTGCGTCTCCGCAGCGGCTTGAGTCTCATCGGCGTAGCGTTCCTCCAGCTCTTTCAGTACTGTCTGCATCTCCTCAAGGTGCTGTTCACGCTCCGCCAGGTCAGCCTCAAGAGCGCGGATGGTCTCGGCACTGACAGTGGCAGCACTATCGTGCATGGCCTGCTTTGTCCTTAACTCCTCACCAAGCCGCTCGACCTCGCCCTGCAACTGCTGGATCTGGCCCTGAAGCTCATGTTCCATGGCAGTGGACGCGTCCTCAAGTTCCTTTAGTGCGTTCTGCATCTCCTCGAGGTTCTCGTCCGACTTGCGAAGCTCCTGTTTGGTCTCCTTCAACTGTTTCTTGAGCCGCTCGATTGTGGCGTTGGCCTCATCCAGTAGCTGCTGGAGCCTGATCACCTCTGCCTGGTGGTCCTCCACCATGGCGTCGACCCTTTCCTCGTGCTGGCGCTGTTTTGCCTTTATCTGTTCCGTGTATTTTTGTAAGTCTTCCGTCATGAGGCTTTCCATGGCATCCTCGTGCTCCTCCTTCATCTCCTGCATCCTGGTGTTGAGCTCCTTCAGCTGCTCCTCGAGGACGACTTCGTTGGGATAGAGGATACGGCGCTGCTCCTGCAGCTGCGCATCCGCCTCAGCAAGTTGCTTTTGGTACCCGTCGATTTCCTCTTGTAGGCGGGCGATCACTTCGTCATCGGTGGCGTTCATCAGCTGAGCCTCAAGGATTGCAATGTGTTTGACCAGTTGCTCAATGGTATTCTGCAACTGGTACTCGGCGTAGAGCGCCTCCTTCTTCTTGAGGTATGCGTCACGGAGCTCCTCGCTAAGCTTGCTCGCGCCGTCGTCTGTCTCGTCAACGGGTTTTACCGTGTTGATCTTGGCGTGCGTAGTCATCTGCTTGGCACGGTCCGCGAACCGAAGCGTCTGCACGCTGAGATGCGCGTCCCGTACGCTTGGTGCGATTGTCACAACCATCGCCGACACACTGTTTCCACCGAGGTACTCCTTTAATAGCTTCGTCAGGGTGCTGTTACGGAACTCTGGGATATTCTGGTTGTATCCTTTCCGTGTGGCAACGGCCTCGATGCAGGAGCCCAGCGCAAGCAGCGACAAGTTGATGTTGCGTGCCTGTTCGAAAGGGAGGCCGGACTCCGTGTGGGCGAGCCTGATACGCTCGCAACCAGCAAGATCGGCGAGGAGAATTTTGGAGATGCGTGGCACGATTTCGGTCGACTCAAACGTGGTCTGCACCTCCAACTGGAAGAGCGTGTGGGCGCGTGATGAGCGGTCATGAATGGCGGTAGCCGCAAACGTGCGGAGAGGTTCAGCCTTCTTCAGCAGAGCGAACACGTCCTCGCAGGTGCGCACCGGAATCGACTTCGCCCCAACCACGTGGAAGGAGTTGTCGTTGTAGCTGTTTCGGATGGACACCTGCTTGCGGTGGTTGAGGAGGTCAAAGACGTCCTCCAGGTACACTTCCAGCATCGATGCGCAGACGCGGTACGTGATACCCTTCTGCGAGCTGGCGGCAGAACGCTCGAACAACATCTCGCACACACGCGGAATGAGACCCCTTTCAGGTGTGCCAAGCGAGTTGGCAGGACCAAATGAAGTAAATGTTTTGCCACTGCCAGTCTGCCCATAGGCCATAATGGCGGCGTTGTAACCCGCCATTGCGTTCTCCACCAGTGGCCGTCCAATGACCTCGAAGACATCTTCCTGGTCGGAGAAAGACTTCTCGCTGGGCGACTCGTTACTCCAGAATATGCCATCAAATGTAAATGTGAAGCGTCCTTTCTTCGGCACCTGAACATCCACTGTGTCGTCTTTCATACGAACAGCCAACTGCCGCTGATCCTCAGCGACTTCATTCGGTGCAAAGGCACGCACACGCGCATACACATTGACGCGGCCATTACCTCCAGTTTTTCCTGAAAGCTGCCGCAAGACTCCTTGACTGGTGCTGTTGCTCCCGGTGTTCCCAAGGCTACTTATGCTGGAGTTGTTGTGGCTGCTGGCATTGGCGGCGGAGATACTTGCGTTTGTTCCTGTGCGCCTAAAGGTGTCTGGGCGCGGCAGCCCGGGGCCACGCGCCGATGTCGGTGCACCCGTTGGCCGTGGTGGCCGCGCTGTTGGCGTCAAGCCGCCGGATGATGCTTGCAGGCTGCGTGGTGTGCCGCTTCGCACCGGCGTGGAGTTGCGCATCGGCGTTGATCCCCGCTGTGATGTTGCAGTGGGCGGGCGTGGCG